ATAAAACGAATGATGACTTTAATCCCGAGAGTAAATTCAGGCAGTATTTTATTCTGAAGAAATGTAAACACAATCTCATAAAACATTTATACAATTCATTTAGGATGGCAAAAGTGTCAGAACTGCAATACAGATAACCAGCTATTTATAATGTAGTAAGGACACAGTCATTATAGTTCAAACAGTTTGAGTAGTAGAATCATCTGTTATGATTTCAATGTTCTGCTTTTTCAGAACACTATGAAAGTCCAGAACTTAAATATCCTTTCAATGAGTTAAATATTCATCAAAATTTAAATCAATAGCCCAAAAAAACAGTTATCAATCTGTAAAATACTACTAAATTACAGCAAACTTCCTAAGTTTTACAAAAATGCCAAAATCTATATCTTTAGTTAATCTGGTGACCAAAAAATTGCATCTACAGTAATATATTTTTTTCAAACGCATGAAATATATAAAAGATTGTAGATGATAGAATCTTGTCAAAATACATATGGTGATAATCTGTATAGCATCTGTCTGATTAATTACTAGATCCTATCAAATAAACCTGAAATACTAGCATGTAAAATACAAAAATTATACAGAAAAGAGCTTTTAGTGCAATATTTGTTAAAATATAGACTTTAAAGATGCAGTATTGTCTACCCAGTCCACCACATAGCCCTAGATATATGCCCAATGTCAATAATAACCACTCTTTACCCATATTTTATGTAATCAATTGTTTAAAGTTTGACAGCAATAAGTCCAACTTTTTACAGGAATGTTCAGAAATTTAAGCATAATTTAAAAATCAATATAACTGACTTTAAAATTTATTTTTTTTGCCTACCGGTAATTAAAAGATCATCTGTAATTCATAACAATATTGAGTATTATCTTCCGTATGCATTTCGATATTTAGTTAGCCAGGTTCAGAATGACCATATATTTTCAAAGATTACCTGTTGACACAGCGATATGTTTTGCCTGTTTAACATGTAAACTATGCAAAACTGAGAGGGTGGGGTCAAATTATCTCTATGGGAATGAGATGTGCCAATGATTATACATCTGCCTCCAAATATCATTGACATACCACTTTAATGTTCCCCTTAAACTGATCTAATCGCAAACTTAAAAAATTTGACGCCTACACTGACACCAGAAATAGCAGTATCCTCCATGACTTTGTTGAGGAGAGACAAAAAAATTAAAATGATTTCTCTTTGGATTCAATGGTATCTATGTGGCATTATTGCAGCTATGAAGGTGGCCCAATCAGCACAGAATTAGATATCTTTGTAAAGGATCTCTAAATAATCAATCTTTAAAAAGATCAATAAACTTTGGTTCCACATGGTCCAGTGGTTTTACAGTGTTTTAAAAGGAAAGGAAAACAACAATGTGTCCATAGTACACGGATGCCCCACTCGCACTATCATTTTCTATGTTCAGTGGAAGGTGAAATTGGGGTCAAAACTCTAATTTGACATTAAAATTAGAAAGATCATACCATAGGGAACATGTGTACTAAGTTTCAAGTTGATTGGACTTCAACTTCATCAAAAACTACCTTGACCAAAAACTTTAACCTGAAGTGGGACAGACCGACGAAAGAACGAACGAACGAACAGACGCACAGACCAGAAAAAATAATGCCCCTACTACTATCGTAGGTGGGGCATAAAAAACAAATAATTATTTTGTTTTGTTTTGGTATTTGTACCTTTGACCAATTATTTTATCTTTTAAAGAAAACATTAACTGACAACCAGAGTGATGGCAATAATTTTGTAAAATTCAAATTTTGGACCAGTTCATCAAAATCTTTATTTTGATTACATTTTGAAATTTTTACTTCATACATAATGGCATTATTCCTATATACATATATAATAATAACATAGTTTACTTAAAGTTTGAAATAAAAAAAATAATAAGCATTTACCCGTAATTAGGTATATTTTTGAACAAAAAATATAAAATAATTCCTTGAGTGTTTACACCTAATAGTCAAGCTTAAAGACTATATTAATCAAGGTTATGGATCTCAATCATACTAAAAGACTTAGCAAAACAATATTTCTCATAAATGAAACTCTGACAAGAAAAGTTTCTAGCTTGAGAGTTAGTGACTATTGATCCTAGCATTACTGAATGGATGTATTCATGGAACCCAAAACTAGTTAAACACAAATTATCACAGAACAAGAAATTCTCATTTTCAGGAAAAATTCCTTAGCAATGAAATGCAATCATTAAAAAAGTTTATATTATGTATAAACAAGAACAATTCATTATGGAATCATTGGATCTCATAGCTAAAAAAACAGTTTGGTTAATGTCATGATTTAACATGTCAAAAAATCAAGTTAAGCATGTTCATTCTGGGAATTATGCACAATGGTTGCTATTTTTTTTTATTATTATGCAACATTAAGATATGCCCAGACTATTATCAAATTAAAATATAGGGTTTCCCAGTCATACTTTCTATAATGTTTTATATGATTTGACCATGTAGTTTCATAAAATGATCAAAATAAAAATAAATGGGAAATGTGTCCATGGGACACAGATGATGCCCCTGCTTGCATATTACGTTAAAAAGAGACATAACTAAAGAAATGTAAAAGTGACGCTACCAAAATTTGTACTTGATCTGTGTTTTGTGGTAATAGGCATTGTGTATAAGTTCGGACGCATGAAATTATTAAACGTGTTGTTTTCAATTTTTCATAACATTTAGTTGAGGCAAACTTAAGTGAGAGAATGGAAACAAAAATTCAGCAATTTTTCCATTTGTAAAGGGGCATAACTCCAGAACAGTAAAAGTGACGCCACCAAAATTCAAACTTGATCTGTGTTTTGTGGTAATAAGCATTGTGTATAAGTTGTAGAACATTTGGTTGACGTACATACATACGTACAGATGGACAAGGGTAAATCTTAATGCCCCCTACGCTACGGAGTGGGCAAAAAAATTGGCTCTACTGTGTTTTTCACCTAAATGGAAAAAATGATATTTTTGGTTTGTTTAAGCATTTGATTCTCAACTCATTGCCCCTTTCTGCATAAAAAAAAAACCAATGGCCTATTTAGGATAAAGGCCATTATTAGAAATTCAGAATTATTTTGTTTATTTTTGAATTACTGACAAAAAAGTGTTGTCCTGTTTAGCATACCCCCACTAGTAATTCAAAGTATTGAATAACAGGAAGTAGGTCTCTGACAGACCCAAAAAGTGCTCACATGGTACAACACATTACTGTTAAGCTGCTGATCAAATATAAGTATCATATTCTCTGACAGACCAATAAGTGCTCACATGGTACATCGCATCACTGTTAAGCTGCTGATCAAATATAAGTATGATATTCTCTGACAGACCCAATAAAATGCTTCGCTGAGCGCAGCCTGATACGACCGCAGAGGTCGAACCCTGAACAGTTGGGGCAAATTTGGACACAATATTCAAGCTTGATACTGTCTGAATTTGGATTGTGATCAAATTTTTGACATAATATAGGTTTCTGACACAAAATAAATGTTGTCAAAGATCTTAAAAATTTGAAATGGGACATTTAATTTACCTAGTATGGTCTAATATCCAAAATCTAACAACATGGTTAGATTCAGCATTTAAAAAAAACACCAAAAATTTAATTTTAGTTGAAATCAAACAAAGTTTAATTTGGACCCTTCAAACCTTAATATGGACTAATTTGAAAACAGGGCCCAAAATAAAAAATCTAAATGCACAATAAGATCCAGCATATCATAGAGTCGCAATAATTCAGTTTTTGATGAAATCAAACAAAGTCTAATTTTGGACCCTTTGGACCTCAATGTAGACCAATTTAAAATTGCAGCCCAATATTCAAAATAGTAATACAAGGTTAGAACCCCCAAAAATTAAAGACTTTAAATTAATCCCATTGAAATTGGTTAAAAGATTTGTATTTATTTTCAATTGAAGATTTCTTGCTATTGCTCAATACTGTGCAACTGAAGATTTCTTGCTATTGTACAATACTGTGATATTGCGCAATACTGTGTTGTTGAGCAATACTGTGTTGTTGCGCAATAATGTGCTATTGCCCAATTCTGTGCAATTGAAGATTTCTTGCTATTGGGAAATACTGTGCAATTGAAGATTTCTTGCTATTACGCAATACTGTGCTATTGCCCAATACTGTGCTGTTGCACAATACTTAGTTAATCTGTTATATATAATAATTTACACACCCTGTTTGGTGTGTATCTCCTGCAATATCAGTATTTGTTGCTTTTATATATAAATCAGAAATAATCAATGTAAAAATAAAAAAATTTTAGGAAAAAAAAAAAAAAAAATTATGAAAAAAAATCCCCTTAAATTTTTTTTTTTGAAAAATCTTAAAGAAAAAAGTATGAACCCCCCCAAAAAATGAAAAAAAAAAACCCAAACTTTTTGACCCCCCCCCTTTGAAGTAATTATCCCCAAACTCAATCACAGCCTTCCTTTGTGGTATGGAACCTTGTAGTACAATTTCAGAGAGATCCATACACTTAAACTTAAAGTTATTGTCCGGAAACTACAAAAATGCTTGTTTTTGGCCCCTTTTTGGCCTTATTCCTAAACAGTTGGTACCATAACCCCCAAAATCAATCCCAACCTTCCTTTTGTGGTATTGAACCTTCTGGTAAAATTTCATAGAGATCAATTTACTTAAACTAAAGTTATTGTCTGGAAACCAAATGTGTCTTCGGACGACGACAACGTTGTTTTTGCGATTGTATAAAAAGTGCTCACATGGTACAACACATCACTGTTAAGCTGCTGATCAAATATAAGTATCATATGTTAAGTGATGATACCCTATAAAGTGTGACAGAAATGTTTGTTGTTCATTTCACAATTTATTGCAATAGAATGCTGTTAGATTGGTGGTTACCCAATATCTACTACTACTAGACTCAAAGTTCTGAATACACAAAAACACTATGATCTAAGTATATGATGTACAAACCTTCCCTGTATCCCCTGGTGCTGGTTGTAATGTTACTGATGCAGGAGCATTTGGTGGCAACTGAAACAACAGAAAATCATAATTCATAAATTGAAAAATTTAAAGATCTTCAGCTCATTCATTAGTTTCGTTAGTTCCTTTTCACTTAAATAATCCGACACAGAAATTAGAAGATAAGTTTGAGGAATAAACATGTATTTAGTTTTTGTCAGTGGTTGCTGTATGTCATATTGTATATGTGGTATAATTGCCAATGAGGCAACTCTCCACCAGAACCGAAATGTCACCGTACACCAATATATATTTGGGTTTTGTCATAAATCAGGCCGTTGGTTTTTTTGTTTAAATTGTTTCACATTTTGTTGTGTTGGGGCCTTTTATAGCTGACTATATGGTACGTTGATCATTGTTAAAGGATGAACAGTGACCAATAATTGTTTAAATCCACGTCATTTGACCTTTTGTTGGATAGTTGTCTCAAAGTTAGCAATCATACCAAACCTCCTTATCCTTTTAAGAAACCAACAAATCAGCTCATCATATTCTCTATCAAATTCTGGCCTTTGTTCCTAACATCAGATCCAATGCAAAAATTCGTATCTTCTGTGATAATCCTTCTCTTAAATACAAGAATTTATGTATCCTCAAGTCTATTGGGAGCATCCTTAAATTAATATCAAGTTAAAACGTAGAGATTGAGGCATTCTTTCCATTGTTTTCTATAAAGAATGGCAAAGATTGCCCCTTTAAGTTGCCCAATCAACATCAAATGATGAAAATGTCCGTAAGTTTCAAAACATTTATACTTGAAGTTTCAGAGCAGAAAATTTTTAAAGATGGCCAATCAGAATTAGAGGTTTCCTTTTCCAGCCTTGATTTTTATCACATCAAGTTGTAATGAAATGAAGAATCTTTATAAAGGACTTTCCATATATTAGTCCTGCTAAGTTTGGTTCAAATTGACTAGTTTTTTTTCAGAGAAAGTGAAATAAATCTTAAATGTTTAACAATGGAAGATAGCTATAGCCCACATGGCCCTATGTACCAGGTGAGCTAATGAAGGCAAGAATAGAGTACTACTGAACAATCAAAATGCATATACAAAATATTGCCATGTCTGTCAGTCCTAATGGTCATATACTCATATGGTTCAAGCGGACTTATATCAGCCAAGGACTTTATATATCTAGCAGAATATCAAACAAATTTAGGTCAGACATGAATCTCATGTTCCAATTTCAATGACAGTGTGACCATCTAAAATTTTAAGAATTTATCCGTCAGGCACATACCATGTTGGTTTGTGAGTTTTAGTATGGCTACAGATCATATGCCTATCTGTTTAACTCTTTTTATTGAATGAACTGTTATTAGTGTCTGAATTATTGACCAGCAATAGAAAAATATTAAAAGATTATTTCACAAACTGAATGACAAAATATATGTTAATACTCCTGAAAAAAAACCCATATAAACATGAGTATTTTTTTTGCATTTATTAAACATTAACATAAAAGTAGTTGTTAAAAAAATTCCCATGAATAAAATATAATGTGAAAAAGAAATTTGAGTATATAATGACTCTTTTCCTGATCAATATGCAGTAAACAAGTAAACTTTCGCCCACACACACAATTATTAACTTTGTTACATATATTTGCTTTTTGGAATTATATTTATAAGTATTTATTTTTTGTGTATTTAATACTTCTGTCTGTTTTGTCATGATCGTATATTTTTGTAATCTATATTTAGTATAAATTGATTATACATGTACCTATATGTTGTAAAACATTTGGTTAATAAAGAATTGAATTGAATTGAACTTATCTGTTATAACCTATTGCGTAAAACAACTTGATCATGTAAGCATGGTTGTTAGTAAATCATTATTACATTTGTATGCAAATGAAGCTACCGGTAATGTATCAGATACTATTGCAGGATCAATCTTAAAGGCACTTTTTGTAATAGTTTATTTTTTAATTTTTTTTTATAAATATATATGGAAAGGAAGTTGTGTCATCATTTTCACAACCAGAAAGGGTTTAAGTGTATCGTATTATCTATAGAAACAATACAAATATGATTTATCTTGACATGACTACCAGAACCACCTAGACACAGGAAATTACTTTTACCAATTTGCAAGTCGGAAACTGGTCTTATAACATTTTTTGCATTATATAAATAAACATAAGTTCTTTTTATTACAAATTGCTAGAAATAAATCTAGAGACTGTCTACAGATTCAGTTCATTATGTGCTAAAGGTTTAACCTATTACAATACTTGGTCTATCTTTCAGCTAGGAATTGTCATATAATTACAAGTACTAGTAAGCTTGTTTGTGTTAATGCAGAGCAGCTTTCAAATATATTAAAGGGAATCTGACACATTTTAAACAATTAAAACAAAACATTGATTATTTAAATTTAACTGCTACTTTTCTTTTTCTAACATTAACATCATTTCTTCTTGAGATTTGTGGATATTTACACTCAAGCTTCTTTATATGAAATAAACTGTTGACACAGAGATATGTCTCACCTGTCGGCAGTAAATTCATAAAAAGACAATCTGATGAACAGCAACATTGCTAATTAATTCAAAGTTGATGGACCATGAACTAGGGAGCAGGGCTTCAAAATGGTTGAAAAACTAAAATGTACTGATAGTAATGCAACTTTATGGAAAATATCATTGTTTTTCATAAGTAGTTCCAATCAAACTAAATTAAGTAGAAAAACTTATCATTCAATTAAAGTCACTGGACCATGACCTACAGAGGCAGGGCCTCAAAATAGTTGTCAAACTGATATGCACTAATAGTAATGCAACTTTATACAATAAACTATTAACACAGAGATATGTCTCACATTTTTTATTATTTTGATAATAAAAAGCAAATGTTAAAATTAAAAATAGCAATACTTTAACATATAAGTTACACAATATATTCAAAGTCAATGAACCATGACTGAAGGTACATGGCCATATAATCTCCATGGAAATGAGATGTGCCACTACTACAGAAACTGCATACCATATATAATTGATCTACCAATAAAGGTTCCCTATAAAATGACCTAATCACTAACTCATACATCTAAACTAAGCACAAGTTTCAAAGTCAATAGACCATGACAGAGGATGTGGGGCCAAATAATCTCCATAAAAATAAGATATGCCAATGCTAATACAGCTGCATACAGAATATTATTGACCTACCACTAGTGGTTCCCCATAAACTGACCTAATCACAAACTAATATGTGTACTAAACAAAAGTTTCAAAGTCAATAAACCATGACTGAGGGGATGGGGCCAAATAATCTCCATGGAAATGAGATGTGCCAATGCTAAAACAGCTGCATACCAAATATCACTGACCTATCATTAGTGGTTCCCCATAAACTGACCTAATCACAAACTAATACATTGTTGACGCCTCCGCTGAAGCCAGAAACAGCATACCTATGTCTCGCTTTTTGACTCAGTCAAGGCCAGACAAAAATATTGATCTATCACAAATTGTTCCTATCAGTCTGTCTTAAGCAAAAAATTTAACATTGAAAATTGCTTATTAATTCAAAATCACTGGACCATGACTTATGGGGCAAGGCCTCGAAATAGTCATCAAACTGTACTGATAGTAATGCAACTTTATAGAAAATATCATTGATTTATCACAAGTAGTTCCTATCAAACTGACTTAAGCAAAAAACTTAACAATTCGAGCCGACACAGCCGAAAAGGCAACACCTCTTTCTTGCAAGACAAAAAACACCAGCTGTATTTTGTTGAAGGGTTTGACTCTGATGAGTGGAGTTTTACAAAAAAGGAGCACAGACTTAATGTGTAATATATCTATAGGTATTCTTTTAGAATTTGAAATAGAGAATGACAAAGAAACTGATATATTATTAACCAAATATAGCTCCATACATCATTATCTTGTATCTTAAAGATATTCTACCTCATGTTACAATCTACAATTTATTTTTGAAGTCATACTGTGAAAATAGAACCATAATTAGAAACCATTCTACGTCAAAGATATTTTTCAGATTACCTCTAAACATATCATTTCCACAGTTTATATCAACCAATCTAATTTATGAATCTATAAAATAATCTATACACTCACAATTCTCTATTATAGGTGGTCACTTTGGCAAATTAATTAGAATTTAAAGAACATTTTAAACAAATTTCATAAAAAAAAAACCCTTTCCTACGTAAAAGTTAGGGGAAGTCCTTTTATAACCCATGATAACCACAATTTATCTCTTAAACAATGTCAAATCAGAGGGGAAAAAAGCAGACAAGAAATTTCATAAAGAATCCAAGAAAAACTATAAAAATAAATAATAAAAAAGAATACTGTATGTTGTCTGTGTAAACAACAAAATTTCGGGCATAGCCTTCATCAGATATGCTTGTACGCAAAAATTTTTAAAACCCAAAACACATACTTTTTGATAGCATGAAATTCAAAAGGGTTAAAATACAACAGTCAAACCTTAAATAATCACCTTTTACCTAAGGTAGCTGCAACTATAGTTTTATCACACTTGTGCAATTTATGAACTCAGAATTTACAACAAAGAGTCTGTATTTAATGCCATGTATTTAATTTACATAACTTGGTAATTATTATCTCTTGCTCTGACAATGTGCCATTATTCAGTACTGGTACATGTATTTCCATCACTAGGATCTTATACAGAAAAATTAACCACTAAATGATTGGTTTTAAAGGAGAAATTTAAACTTCCCATAGAAAGATCTCAGCAGAGGACAACTTAGCTATTGTATTTATTTAATGGCACAGTTCAACTTCCAAAAATTTAAATATCCTGACCAACACCAACTGATTCTCATGAAATGTTTTATTACCTATGCAATAAGAGTGCTACTGGGATCATAATCTGCATCAAAATTGAATTTAATTTTGGTTTCCAATCCTATTAAGCCTTCTGAATGCCATGGATGGATATTCACTTTGTCTTAAAGCTTTTAAAACACTAATGATACCCCTGCTACTAAGTATTAAAAC